GAATAAAAAATGCAGACTTTTTTTTACATCTTTATGTTGGTTCTGCTTACAGTTCCCTATCATTTAATATGCATTTCAGCCAACAATTACAGCTCAGTGAAAATGAGTGACAGACAGGAAGAAATGCTAGTCTGTTAAATAAATTGGCTTTTTGTTTATGAGTGCAGTCGGGTTTGGACGTTATCTACAGGGAATGAAGGTCAGCAGTCATTATGGAGCAGATTTTATTCTGGTAATCAGTTTGTTTGTTGTGTTTTCTTGATATGATTAGCTGATAGCATATTTGTCATTTACATCAGACTAATTCCATCTGCTGCTTCTGTGCCAAATGAAAATTAATTGTTTTTGTAACTGTGTCCTCAGTTAGATCCTTGATAAAGTTCTTCACCTACAAATGAGTTCAGACCAGCCCCACCTCCACCACCACAGACTGCAGCCCTTTACTTTGCATGAATGCACACCAGTTCCAGTTTATATGGGTCTGAATAGGGTCTTCAGTGGTTGTGATGAAGGTCCTTGCAGCATGTGATGACCGTGTTAAAGCCTCATCTCATGACCCAGTAGCTGCATCTTGGCCTCCTCTCCACCCTCCATTTAACTTTAATTGATGGGCCCTCCTCAAGCTGGACCATTTGTCAGAGCAATCGGACAGATCCAGTGAAAGAGCCACAGAGGATGTGGCCCCATGACCTCTTTACAGAGAGTGCTGAGGAGACAGACTTACTGCACTCGCTGAAGTGACATTACTCAGTGCTGTAGTCTACATAATACCGAGTATACGGTCTATAACCACAAAAAATTATTGGGAATTTCTGCATAACCAGTTAAAAGTGCCCAATGTTACGTCATGTTTGTTACGTCTATTTTCATCTTTAAATCACTTCTTGGTCTGTTGCCTTCATACATCTCCTCCTACATGTCTCTGTGTGAGTGCAGCTACGGAGTGCGCTCTCAGGACATTATTACCTGCAGTGTTCCCTCAATGAGGACTGAACTTGGCAAAAGGGCCTTCTCCTATTCCGCTCCTGTTTCCTGGAATATCTTACAAAAAGATTTGATGCTCTCGACCTTGACCTCTCTAAGTGGCTTTAAGAATCTGTTGGACACCTGGCAGGGTCCAATGCTGACATGTTCCTGTTTTTAGTTTTCTACATTTGTCTTGGAATCTAGCTGTTTTTTTTTTTTTGTTTTGTTACCTTTTCCTTTTAGCCATCCTATTTGTTAAAAAAACAAAAACAAAAAAAAAAAACCTGCAGTATGACTTTTTATAACTGTTTGTTGTTGTTGCTGTTGTCCATTGTTGTCATCTTTCTTTGTTGAAATCAGGTCTCTCTTGGAAATGAGTCCTCGAGGCTCAATGGGATTTACCTGTATAAATAAAGGTTGATTGATTGATGTTCTCTCGATGCTGCGCAGTTTGGACAACTTGGCAAAGGCCCAAGCAAAATATCTAGTTATAGTTATCTCCCGCTTTATCCATCCATCCATCCATTATCTTTTACCCGCTTCTTCCATTTTAGGTCACAGGGGTCACCGGTGCCCATGTCCAGCAATCACTGTGCGAGGGGCAGGGTACACCCTGGACAGGTCGCAAGTCCATCACAGGGCCACATAGAGACAAACGAGACAAACAAACATTCGCTCTCTCACTCACACCTAGGGACAATTTAGAGTTACCAATCAGTCTAACATGCATGTTTTTGGTCTGTGGGAGGAAACCGGAGTACCCGGAGAAAACCCACTCATGCACTGAGAGAACATGCAAACTCCACCTAGAAAGGCCTCCGGACCAGGATTTGAACCAGGGACCTGCTCGCTGAGAGGCAGCAGCTCTACCAGTTGCGCCACCGTGCTGCCCCCCTCCCCCCCATTTTATATGAAACTTTTTTAATGAACTGTCAGCCCGAGCTCAGCATCTCTATAATCTGTCTGTGTGCAGCGTATTTGAGTGTAGAGTGGAGGAAAAGACCCCCCCCCCCCGTGCGCGCCCCCGGTCAAAACAGACCTGTGTCACGTGATTTGTGTAGTGGCAACAGAAGTTTACAAAGAGTTTAAAGTCATTTTGACACTAGATAGTCCGGTAGACTCGGTTCGGGACCAATATTCATGAGCTTTTGTTTACATTTGAGCTGGTGCGTTTGCATTCACACTGCACTGTGCAGTCGAGTCAACCTGTTGAACCAACCTATTCCCCCGCTCGCCTGTGGGGGCGCTGCACCAAGAACTACTGAAAGAAACGACACAAAAACCTCTGAAGACACGTCTTCTTCTTCTGTAAATAAAAATAAAATCAAAGTGGCATCAAGTTTTAGCAGTTTTAGGAGTTATATTTTGTCATTTTTCAGAAATGGACTTAGCATGAGCAGAAGATGAGACAGAAGACCATGGAGAATATTGTTTTTTCACACAAGGCAGCTGACGGCTCCATATAAGGTCAGAGAAATGCGTGTTTGTTTATCCTGCGGAGCGGGGCCCGGTCTGATGGCATTCACACTGTACTCGAACCGCGCTGGAGTTCTCTTCTACCGGACCGAGACCTAGGTTTTAGCCCGGGAAGAGTTCGCTCTTTTGTTCCGTGACAGAGTTCGATGGTGCGTTCACACATCCCTAAACGAACCGGACTTTCTAGGAAAACGAACTAGAGTTCGATTAAAGCGGACTAAACAGGGCTGGTGTGAATGCACCCTAAAAAATCAGCCAATGAAATCACAGGCAAACTTTCATTCCAACCAATCAGCGTCTTCTGGTGTTTCAGTGCTGACGTGCGAAGAAGCTAAGTAGCTACCAACAACCTTGTCTTCTAGCGCTTTTCCAATCTTTATACTGCATATTTCATCACATACCGAGGGATGATGTTTGGCGTTGTGGATTTATCACCGAAGTTTACAGTTGTCTGATGTCAAACAAAAGCGCTACGTAAACTAATCCCACGACTTGTAGCCATTTTTATCATAGGTGTTAGCAAACAGTAGTGCTCGGTTTCTGGATGGGACTAAACTGATTTTGTACAAAGTGTTTAATAGATCAAGCTCAAGTTGTGGTTATTTGTCATATGCAAGGTTAACACAAGGTTAACAGGTCAGCTCAGGTCTCTCTTGTAAATGAGTCCTCGAGGCTCAATGATGGGATTAACCTGTCTAAATAAAGGTTGAACGAAACCGTACAATGAAATGCTCAGGATGAGAAGAAATGATTTGACTCGCTATAAAAACAAAGAACAAACAAACAAGAAATACTAAAGCATGCAAAAGGGTACAAAAAGAAAGTACTAAAAAAATGAAAAAGTAATTATAATATTTACAGTTGTACATTTATTGAAATATAAGCATCAGATAAATTTTGAAATGTTCAATATGGTTAAAAATCAAAATAAATTGATGATTACATTGTACTAACCAGTGTACTTTGGTTTCTAAGCCCAGTATACCCACTACAAAAATGTAGAATACACCAGTGTCTTTATTCATGAATGGAACTATGAGGGGAGAAGACAGGATAAAGAAGAAGAGACTGAAGTGTTTTTGTCCATCCTTCTGTAAATCCCATCTCACTGTCTCAGTATGGTTTCTTCCTTTGTGCTCTCAGTCAATTCAATCTTCAAGCAATCGCTCTGAGAAATCCTCGTCCTGTAAGATCACTTCTGCAGTTCATCAGAGTGATGTGTTGTGAAGTACCCTGTCCCTTAAATCACAGCACCATCAAACTCTGGGCTACATGGAGGAGCTGATAGTCCATCTGGATCCTGAGACAGACCACCTCTGGGCAGATTGAATACTGGTACTTTCCTTCATGCTCTTTTAAAGTTCTCCAACCCTGATGGAGAAGAAGGCCCACATCGAGAACTACTGTCCACCAAACATGAAAAGCAGCCGGATTATTGATTAGTACAGACATGGTTCAGGCTCTCTTTAGCACTCTTCCTTAAACTTTTAATGATTTATATTCCAAAAACACAATATGAGACTAATATTTAAATGAATCAACTGTATGCAGCAGAATTATGAAATGTGTGTTGGCCACTTTCACACAAACTGTTCCACTGTTTGCCCACAGAGATGAGCTCGTCTTTAAGATGCCTCTGGCTGTTCATGAACCATCAACATGTCCAACAGAGACATGACCTTTCATTAATGGAGTCAGCACTGTGGAGCCGCAGGATGTGTTGATGTGGAGGACCATGCGTACAATGTGCGTTGGACATCTATCCTGCAGATGACTGTCTGCCATCATTACATCAATCTATGCTGTCAGCGGACCCCTTCGTAAACTGACTGCAACACCTCAGCAAGGTTATACTTAAACCCCACACGCTGCCTCAGCCCTCATAAACCACACCAAGAAGGAAAGAATGTGTTTTAGGCATGAGTTTAGTGAATGGGCTTTACTGAGCTGCTAATGCCTTACTGTTTAGTTCCCGAGGAAGTCTCCAAACTGTCCTACAAAGTTCACATGGGTTCTTTATTTTATTGTCACAGCATCTCACCATCATGTTATTTCAATTCTGAACATGCTCCAAAACATTTAGCCACATATGCTCTCTGAAAATGGTCCCTGATACTTTTCCCAAAGCCGTAGTTGTTAAAGGTATTTTCGGCACTATTTTTATATCCACTCATCTAATTTCATACATGTAGTCTAGATGTATTAATTGTTCATTGTGTGTGTCTGATGTGTACATAATAGTTTTCACATAATTAACAGTTTCCTAGCATCACCTCTAAGTGTCACCAATGGATCAACCACCATAGAAACGTTCGTACGCCGAGCTGGTGTGTTGCTGCGCACATTTCCACGCTCATTTCATTCTCGATACATCTGAAGATTTGCAGGAAAGAGAGCACATGCCACGTTTTTGTGCATACGCACCTTTTGTACATGAGATCCCAGGTCACAGGCAGAATTTGACACAGATGCAACAACAAATTCTGCTGCATTTCTTGCGGTTGTGAGTCATCAATTTGTGCCTAACAGTGAGATGGTGGCTTTAGAAGGTGACATACCTTTGATCCTTCTGGCCTCCTTTCGTTGGATGGTTTTGACACCCGATTGGAGCTCGGCCTCTGCGGACATCCTCCTCTGCTGAGTCCTTTGTCCTGCTCACAGCAGGTCCAGCATGGGTTAGGAGCTCACTAGCTAATCCGTCCAGCTCTCAGTATCCAGTCTTCACCACACACTCCCTCACAGTTTGATGAAGAAAACTTCCTTCAGATCCATGGTCAGATGTCTGCTACTCCTCGAAAACTAACAAAGATCCTGCATTGGCAGATATGTTCTGTCACTGTTGGCCCATCACGTTTGAGTAACGTGAGACAAAACATGAGAAGGTGATTGAATTATGAGCTGAGCGATCCTCTCATATTACATCTGACGTCCTCCAGAATGTAGCTGAAGTCCACTGAAGGTTCATCTGCTACTCAGGAGGGTCCCCCTGAGGGACACTTGTTCTTCAGTATAAGTCAGGAGAGGATATTCTTTGGTAGGATCCTTCAGATGATGTTTGACAGCCCATCACAGTCAGAAGCTCTGCAAAGCAAGAAGACAGGGATGATGAATGATAAACATCAAAATGACACATGCCTCATGACTACAGTAACATATGAAATGCTAGGCACAAATTTAACAAATCTACAAAGATATTTCTTCTGGATCATCAATGCCAAACCCAATCAATGACGTTCAAGCCAAACCCTGCACCCCCAGAACCACAATGTGTTTCTTCTGCGTAAACAACATTAGTGAGAGATATTTTCTCCAACATGGAGGAAGACACATTAAATGGATGTCGGACATCTTTGTTTTGTCGTTTACTAAACTCAACTCATTTTTAGCAATCCTGTTTGTGGTTACCTATTTTTAAACTAACTACTTTGTACAAAGTGTCTGTGTGTCATCATCAATATTCCCTCTGTGTTTATTGTTGTTGAATCCAGCGAGCAGGCCGTCTCACACTGATGTCATTAGTTCATCACATTACTGCATTGCAGCTCCATGAGTTTCCTTTTTCAAATGTCAGCCATTGCATCTCTGTTACTACCTCCCTGCATGGCACAGAGACACACCAGTGGTGGGCTGTCTTCAACCCCCCCCCCCCCCACCACCACCACCACCACCACACCACACACACACACACACACACTGCCTTGGAGTGTTTTCTGAATTTACTCTTGCAGTGTTGCCAGATTGGGCGGTTTACCGTCAACTGAGGGGTTTTCATTCTGATTTTGCGGGTAAAAATTGTTTTGTGCGGGTGGGGATAATTTGGGTGGATATGGAGTCTTATCGGTGGTTTTTGAGTTAACTTATTAAACACATTTCAAACAATCATTATTGGTTCAAAGCTCCCCTGACCTTTCTCGTCCACTGATTGGCTATTGTCATCTGCCAGGGCGAGAACTGCTGAGGCGGCGCAATAAATTATGCTAGTTTTAGTGGATGCCTCATTGAGTGGGCTGGCCCGTTGCGGTGGTACGTCGGAGCATCCGCCATACTGGATGTGGCAGAACTGCTGTCCAGCTAATGGACTGAACTTCATAAAGCACCGCTCTACCAAGTTTTTTTTAATGTTAATCCTTGTCATTCACACACACTAATACATATGGAAAACAAACAGGCACCAAAGATAAAATTTATAACTTTTAAAGTGATTATGTAAAATGTTTACTCCTAATAAAGGTCAGGGGAGCTTTGAACCAATAATGATTGTTTGAAATGTGTTTAATAAAGTTAGGTTAAAGGTAAGCACTAAACCAACATATGTAATATTTTGGGTGTTTACAACTATTAATGTGTGTAACACTATTACTGTGGTGATAAACATAGAAATATTCATATTGAACATTTAATCTGTGTCTACAATAACCAGATCCTGAAATGTAATGTGTTGATTTTCTGAATAAAGAACACTAACGTTCACATTTAACTAATTTTGATTAATCGCAATTATGAGCATATTCAATTCAATTCAAAAATACTTTATTAATCTCAAAGGGAAATTAAATGTTGTTGTAACTCATTATCCTCATTTCATTAAGAGATGTTATAGATATTGATGGCTGTAGACAGGAAGGTCTGTCCCACAGCGTATCAGAAGAAATTGGCCGCAGATGCTGTCCGATCCGTCCACCCAGACTCAGTTGGCCTCTCTGTGTTTATTTCTTTAAACACCAATATATCTTTACAGAGGGTAGGGGGTATTGTGTGTGTGGGGGGGTGTTCAAACAGTAAATATAACAATATACTGATTGGGTGGGTTTTTGTGTGATGGGGTGGTTTTTAACAGATTTTTGGGCAGGAAAACCTTGACTCTATCTGGCAACACTGTTTACCGAGGTGTCTGATCCAGCCATGTCTAACAGGTCATGGAGGACGTAGAGTAATGGGCTTCATCAACATCACTATGCTACTACAATATCTGAGCAAAGTGAGAGAGGGGCCTAGCTCTACCTATATGATTAAAAAAATAACTTTGATCAATGTCTTTGGTTTCCAGAGGTTTTTTTAAAATCCAGGATTCTTGTCCCCAGCACTTTCAGAAGGTTGAATATTAATTTATGGATACGTACTCCAGTTTCACTTTAATTTGAAAATAGACACAGATTCCCTCCATCTCATTCATCAGGCGGAGGATAGGACTGAGGATGGTTCTGGTTTGCATGAGTGAACCGTGTCAGGACTGATGTGGGTTCATGTGGCTGATGATGTCACCCGAGTCCAGCAGTGAAGAAAAGGTGTTTCCATGTTACAAAGAACCTTAACAGACTGTAATGTCATTCTCATTGAGAGCAAAATAACTGAGGAGTGATTTAATGTGATGCATGGCTGCTTTTCAAAGCCACTCATATTTAGGTCAGCCAGGATCCCACTCTGCTCCGGGTTTTCCCTCTGCCTCTCAGGATTTGGGTCAGAGTTAACGAGCATCACTCATTTTTCCTGCTCCTCGCACCTCGTTGGGGGTGTTGAAAGCTCTTGACAAAAGCCACCATTTATTTATTAATTTGCTCATTTTAGTATTATCACTCTCGAGTGCAGAAGAAAACCTCCTTGAGCAAAGTCAGTTTCCCTTCTGCTGCATCCTTCATTTTCTTCCATTAGCCTGCCTTCTCTGTGGTTTGCCTCCTGTCGCAGTCAGATTCTCATCATGCAGACAATTTATTAAACAAAAATGGGGCACGTTGACACCCAAACCTGATGCCTGGCTGCTCTGTAAGCACATCCGTCAACAAAAAAAGCAGGGCAGATTTTTCAATTCCAAACATCGTAAATAAAACCAACAGCAGCATCTGCACATTAGCATCTTATCTTTTCTGTAATTATGTTCTTATTAATGTATAAACATTGAAGCAGCTTTATTACTGCAGTGTTTTAAGTTTTTGACTCATATCTTCTAAATATTCTACATAGTTTTGAAATAAAACGTTCAAACATTAAAAATGTGCCTCTGCATCAAGAACTGTGTGTTGACTTTTGATAGAAGTTTGCTGCAAAAACAAAAACAAATGATCAAAAAATCTTTGAGGAAAAAATATTGGAGTAATTCTTTAGAGCAGAAACAGGATTTGTAATTTAAACTTTACACTACAATCTGTGTCCTCATTTACCCATTCATACAGCACTCTACTAGATCTGTACAAAAACGTATCAGTGCTTTATCACATTCATACACCGATGGGCAGTGGTGGGATGTAACGAAGAGCAAATACTTCGTTACTGTACTCAAGTACATTTTTGTGTATCTGTACTTTACTTAAGTAGAGTTAAATGTGGGTACTTTCTACTTTCTACTACACTACATTTCTATAACGCGTTGCATTACAAGTTACATTCATGTTGCAGCTTTTTGATTTGTTTGTTACTTTGAAAGTAACCAATGGTGAGAGGGGAGCTGGTCCATTGACTCGCTGCAAAGTGGACAGGTAACGTTAGGCCCGCCTTCAAGAAGAGCTGGGCCAATGACATATATTCTAGTATGTATGTTACTGAGCTGGGTGCACCTGGGTGTCAGAAAGTTAAAATATTGTTCACTGTTGACCCCTTACAAGGTTGAATAGACAGTATTTAAACTAGAGTTGATGACAAACTGGAGTTGAAATGATCAGAGTCTGTTCCTTTGTTAGTTGTGTCTAATGTTCCTTTTTTCAGGCAGACAACTTTTACTTAAATGTGTTTACTGCAGTTAAAATGACACATTGGTTTTGATTTGTGTTAAATAAAAACTTTCAAAGGTAAAATCATTCCTCTTTTTTATTTTGATTAATGGCATTTAACTCTACATCTCATCCGTGAAATTCTGCTGCACAGAATCACAAGTCCAAGTGTGAACTGTGTCACAGAGTAAACACAATAAAAACATGTATTATCTGCAGCATTGTTCATTAAAATGAAACAACACTATTAATGTACTACAGAAAATATACATATGGTAGGCACACTTAAAGATATGTAGACCATTACATTAGGTAATACATTCAGCAAGTACTTTTATTTTTAATACTTTAAGTATTTTAAAAGCAAGTACTTATTTACTTTTACTTAAGTAAAAATGTTAATGTGGTACTTCTACTTTTACTAGAGTACATTTTTGTCTGTTTATTTGTACTTTTACTTAAGTACAGTGTTTGAGTACTTTCTCCACCACTGCCGATGGGACACACATGGGAGGCAATGAGGGGTTCAGTGTCTTGCCCAGGGACACTTCAACATTTGACTGCTGGTGGTATCGAACCCCCAACTCTCCCATTGGAGGACAACTGCTCATCCACAGCCGCCCATCATGGCTGGACAGTTATTTGGATATCTCTGGGTTTTTACTAAATCTCAAAGTTTTAAAATTTTCATAGCAGCATAGTGGCACAGTTGTAAGAGCCACCATTTCTCAGCGAGAAGGTTGTCAGTTCAAATCCTGGCTTGGGACCTCTCTGAGTGAAGTTTGCATGTTCTCTCCGTGTGTGGGTGGGTTTTCTCCGGGGACTCTGGTTTCCTCCCACAGACCACAAACATGCATGTTAAGCTGATTGGTAACTCTAAATTATCCCTAGGTGTGAGAGAGAGACAGTGAATGTTTGTTTGCCTCGTTTGTCTTTATGTGTCCCTGTGATGGACTGAAGACCTGTCCAGGGTGTCCCCTGCCTCTTGCACAGTGATGGCTGAACTTGGGCACGAGTGACTCATGTGACCCGAAAAGGAGAAGCAGGTAAAAGATAATTCATTTAACCTTTACTTATACAGGTTAATCCCATTGAGCCTCATGGATTCATTTATAAGAGAGACCTGATTTTAACAAAGAAAGATGACAACAGTAAACAACAGTAGACAATCATAAAATAAAGCATGTAAACCGAGAAGAATAAATGAAAGAAAAATTAAACAAAAAATGGTATATAAATATAATGAAGCAAAAAACTGTTAGATTGTAAGGTGGTGTAGATTATTAAAACGGGAACATGTCTGCACTGGTTATTGCCATGAACTTAGCAGATGTTTAAAGCCACTTAGAGAGGTCAAGGTCGAGAGCTTCAGATCTTTTG